AATTCAAATCACCATTTCACAAATCTCAAGACAAGGAGAAAGACAGAGAAAACTACTCAGATCTCATGGGGAAAACACAACAAATCTCAGAATTCATATATAAAATTAATAAGTAAATAACTTATATAAGTAAATAACTTATCTCTAAATTCTCCTCAAGAACACTCCTCAAAATTCATCTGAATCTCTTCTTTTCTTTACAGCACACAGAATTCTTCTTCGAAGCAGCAAGGAGAAAGAAATCTCTTACTTTCCCTCCACTCTTACAATCTCTCGAAGAATTCCCAGAGAATTCCTCACAATTTTTACACACTATTGAAACCTTTTTAACCTCTAGGAACTCTCTCTATCACTTCTTTTTTCTCAATTTTCGGCCAAAACATTCTTTTAAAATTGTGGATGAGCTTTCCCAAGAGTTGCCTAAGCATCCCTTCAAAATTTGGCCTTATCCAAAGCCTGATTGGACATAACCGTCGAACTAGCTGTCGGCGGCCTCGAGGGCACCGTCGGCGTACCCTCTTTATTACCTTCTTAATGAATTAATTTTGGAGTCTCGGGAAAATCTCGCCATCGGCGTGATCAATGGTGTAGTTGGTGCCCTAGTTCAATTTTGCACATTTTGGTCCTTTTAGCTCCAAATTTGCTCCTTTTTGCATATTTTTTCTCCAATGACCCTAATTCAATTTTTTCTCTGCTCCTTTTTGCATATTTTTTCTCCAATGACCCTAATTCATCATTCCTGTAATAAAACATAAAAAATGTCTTTTTTTAAAATGCAATATCATCAATAACAGTATAAAATAGGTATGAAAATCTCAACATATTTTCCTCTGGTCAATCATCAAATTTAAATTCATTTTAAGATTGAACTTAAAAGAAATTTAGTTAAACCTGATGTCAATTTAATTTTGAAATTTAGGCCTGATGTTGGTTAAATCTAAGGAGATTTGATTAAGTCTAATATAGGTTAGATTTAAAGTTTAGGTTCAATTTGGGTAAAACCTAAAGGAGATTTGGCTAAGGGTCTGTTTGGCGCAGCTGTGGATTATTTATAATCTGCTGATAAGCAGATTATTCTGATAATCTGATAATCTGCAGATTATCAGAATAATCTGGCTTGCTGTTTGGGGCAGCTTATTCAGACCAACTTATTGGTGGTTAAATGACATTCATGCCCCTGTTTGAATCAAAACTGTTTGGGGCAGCTTATTCAGAATAGCTTATTGTTGGAAAAGAAACATATAGTGCAGAAACATACGATAATCACAGATTTTTTCTAAAAGATACCATACAGTTCTCACACCTTAATGAGTACCAGGATAACTAAAAAAAGTACAAATACAAGTACAACAACAAGGAGAAATATTAAAATATTCAACTTAAGACTCTGGCTACGCCTGTCCTCATCTGCACTGTCAGCCGGAAAAAACATCGGATTCACATGACTGCTGGCATGACTACTGTCAGTGTAATATGATGGACTATCGGCCCACCTGAAGAAACCACAACGGGCTGAAACACCCCTGGCACAACCATAGAACTGCCTCCCAAAGCTATGCTCCTTACGTGACGTTAGCAACGGAGACGGTAGTCCACAATAACACAAAATCCCTCTGTCTGTACTTGATATTCTGGAGGTCATGTTGGTATAACTGTGAAAATAACAAAAGAATGAAATGTCAGCTTAAGGTATTTAAAAAAAAAAACATAATTAAATGGGTATGAATATAAACCTAAAATCTTATGAAAAGAAAACTTGGTTGATCAATAGCCACAAATAGCATCTGTGATAGACTCCCTTAAAGCAATCATATCAGCCAAACTATCAGCATCTTGATCTTCAAAATCATTAGATTCTATGTCCTCCTCAGGTAATGAATGCCCCCCCACATGTCCTGTTGGTTGCTCTAAAATATTGAGTTCATCATTGTCAGCCATACTGAAGTCTGTATCTGATTGCGAGGAATGTCTTCGGATGAAGTTATGTAGTGCCATTGTTGCAACCACAATGTACACCTGCTTTTGGAAAGGATACGACGGCATATCACGTAAGATGACCCACTTCTTCTTCCAAACTCCAAATGTTCTTTCAATTACCCCGCGTAAAGATGAGTGGCGTTTATTAAACATTTCCTTTCTGCCACGAACCGTGCCACTAGCTCGCTCAAAATCAGGAAGATGATATCTCGTGTCCGAGTAGGGCTTCAGGTATCCCCGTTGCATAGGATATCCTGCATCAACCAGATAATATTTTCCTGGTACGAGAAACAATGTTAATAAAAAATTGCACAATCCCACATATTCAAATTACTAAACAAAACTAACCTGCTGGGGGGTGAGGGAAACACTGCGATCTATTCCTCGTGGCAAAGGAGAAAATACGACTGTCGTGTGCACTTCCTTCCCAGCCCGCAACCACAAAAGTAAAACACATGTTGAAGTCGCATACGGCCATGACATTTTGCGTTGTTGAACCACTACGACCGATGTATGCTACCTTCTCGTTGTTAGGTATTCGGGCATCAACGTGTGTACCGTCAATTGCACCAATACAGTTCTGTTTAGTTGAAAAACAAGAGCGTAATAATATTATTAAAGTATATCATGTATCAAATTAAAACCACTAATAATTACCTTGAAATATGGCATATATCGAGGATCGTTGGCAATTTGTTCTGGAGTAGTAGCAAATGATGGATCCTCTGGTTTAATTATTTGAGCAGCTAAGCTAATAAGTGCCTGTATTCCTTTTGAGAAATAGCGACTAATTGTTTCAGATGAATGTTGAAATCTTTCCATAGCTCCTCGAATTGACTCATTCTGTGCCAGAATGTACAGTGTTATTGCCAACACCTCCCGAGACAGGGTTCTAGAAGAACCATGAAGGCCGTGATTTAGACATAACTCGTTTAGAAGATCCATAAAAATCGTTCTCGTCATTCTGAATATATTTCTGAATCTTATTGGATGTCCCGAAAGCATTTCACTAACCCATCTATCTCCAACAAAGGTGGATGTCATACGGGGAATGCGAGTAGTTCTACGCTGGTAATAGTCCAACAGCAATATCGCAACGGCTGTAGCAAATGCCATTCTCCTACGACGTTGACGTTGCGGGTCCATCCTAAATGATTAACAACATCAACATTAATATTCAATAATAAAAATTCTCATTTGCTACATATAGAAAGATTAGACATGTACAATGACACATATAGAATAACAAACATATATTAAAAAAAAGAACAACACAAGTAGAAGTTCAATCAGTACTGATACATAATGAATCCATAAATAATATCATTCCTCAAACAAAACCCGCAAATATTCAAGCCGCATTTCAGGCTCAAGCGCCATGAATATTTTCATTCTAGTTGAATCCTCAAGTTTTTTTACACACTGTGCGTGAAATCTTCTATCTGCAACAACTTCAGGAATAGTCCCCAAAAGCCTCAAACAGTCTACTATGCTTGCATCAGAGATAGGTGGAGCGGCAAATGCTTCAATCAACCGATCGAAGGAGGTATTCATAACATGTTCTTTCTCTTTATTTTTCTTAGCAACCTTCGGCCTCTTGATTGTGCTAGACTCCCCCGTCTCCCTCTGATTAATGCTACGCACATCTTCATCAGGTGTCAATGGTTCAGGGGTAAATTCATCTGGCATCCCTGAAAAGGTACTTTCACTTGGGTTGAAAGTAAATTTTCCGGTAGCGACAATACATTTAAACATTATGTCGAGTTTTTCTTCAAATT